ACATAAATAAATAAAATAACGGTTATCGGAGAACAGGATTACAGACGGTCATTCGTTCCCTCTGACAGTTTCATGCATGTACCTAGCACTACAAAAGCGCAATAGTTATTTTTATTTGAACCCAGTTTTGTCTTCCATCTCCTCCTATCTGACATGGCTCAGCCTAACTTCTCTTTCACATATAAATGCTGTTAATCTGCAGTCTTTACAGTAATCTGTGTCTTCCAGTATTCCCAGATTAGGATAATGTCACTGCACGGCCGTGATATGGGAATAATCTCAGCACTCCAGCGAAGATGTTGAAGTGTGTGTTAGATGGAGGAGATGCAGATAATATCCCATAATCGTGGATTATCCGCACCCCGATGCTTCGTGAGAGGAAATGAAGTGGGGCTCATTGTGCGGGTGTTTCGGGTGGAGGACGGAGTCCATGTGTGCCTGTGTGTGTTTTGGGTCTGTTTGGTTTGATAAGATGGAATGAGAGGTTTTGTATCCGGGTGATAATGTGTGATGTTGTGTTGTTGGAGATGTGGTCATTCATATGCTGATATCAGCATGTTTTTAGGGAAGCTGTCGCCTCTTCGTTTTTTTTTCTTCCCTGCTTGTCTGTTTCAGAGTCATAGGGCATCAACTTTAACCCCTGACTGACACAGTCCAAACCCCTTGTTGTTTGTGTAGAGAAGATCTCAGAATGTGTGTGTGCAACAGTCAATCATTATATCAATTGTTTGTTTGTTTGGTTGCGTTTTTTTAACGAGCCAGACATTAAGCTGCCTCGTTTCCATGACAACCTCTTTATTCTGCGCCGTTGTCTTTTAGGATGCTGTCTGAACCCAATTAGCCTTCATCATCCTCATTCACTCCAGCATGTACAGATCAGTTTCATTACGGTCTCCGCATACTGAAGACAATCACTGCTAATGTATTAATGTATGTACTGATGTTCTGACGATGGGTCTATTTTTTAAAAGCTGCATTAATTTGTTAATGTGTCTGCGGTGAAGGATATGATAATGTCTAATGTAATAATTAAAAAAGAAAGTTGATCCAAAAATGGAGATTCTGTCATCATTCACTCATACTTGTGTTGTTTAAAGCCATGAATTTTTTTTTTTTAAATGCTTAAGTAATGCAAAAGGAGATGTTTTGCAGAATGTCCTGGCTGCTCTAAAAAGTGAAAGCAAATGGGGACTGGGACTGTCATGCTCGAGAAACAACAGAAAACACCTTTAAGGTAGGTTATAAATGTTTGCAGTACTTGTTCATTTCACTTTATGTGATGCATCTTAACAAGCCATATTTAAAAGTTTGCAAATGTAAGTAAGCTTTGAAGCTTTCAAAAATCCTATGGACAACGTTTATTATAGTTTAATGGGCCGTTCACACAGAATGCGTTCATTTCTGTGAGTGGCCTCTTAAGTAAGGCCTGTTCACTCCAAGAACGATGATGTTCTGTTTATTATAAGCACGCACTTAAAGGGATAGTTCTGCCAAAAATAAAAATTCTGTCATTAATTACTCACCCTCAAGTCCGCAAGACCTTCATTCATCTTCTGAACACAAATTAATATATTTTTGATGAAATCCGAGAGCTTTCTGACCCTGCATAGACAGCAACGCAACTGAAATGTTCCTAGGCCCAGAAACGTTAACAGTCCATGTGATATCAATGGTTAACTGTAATTTCATGAATCTATGACAATACTTTTTGTGCACAAAGAAAACAAAAATAACGACTTTATTCAACAATTCTTCTCCTCTAAATCACGTCTTCTGCCACTATCGAGAGTACCTCTACACATAGAACACGCATGCGCTGCAATTTGTTTACATGCAGAGGAAAGCACACGAATGTGTCGTGGTACTCTCCATAATGGAGGCAGAGGAGAAGAATTGTTGAATAAAGTAGTTATTTTAGTTTTCTTTGTGCCCAAAAGTATTCTCGTAGCTTCGTAAAATTGCGGTCAAACCACTGATGTCACATAGACTGTTTACATTTCTGGACCTGGGAACAATTCAGTTGCGCAGGGTCAGAAAGCTCTCGGAATTCATAAAAAATATATTAATTTGTGTTCCGAAAATGAACGAAGGTCTTATAGGTTTGGAACAACACAAGGGTGAGTAATTAATGACAGAATTTTCATTTTTGGGTGAACTATCCGCTTAAGTTGTCGCCTACTGCGTTAAATGTTCGCGCTCGTTAAAGTCTGTTCGATTTTGATTGGCTGTCAACGTTATTTAATCGTTTTTCAGATGGGGAAAAAAATCGTTCTGAAAGTCATTCGAACGTCATCATTCCTCTGAATCGTCATCGTTCAATTTTTGCCGTGGGCTTCACAATTCTCACAGAATTAAAATGATTAATAATTATCCTTGACTTGAACAGCGCTGTCATTTCTGGCGCTCAACAGACCCCATTCACTGTATCGCAGGAGTAAACTGTGTAACGTTAAATGGGTCATATGATGTGATTTCAATTTTTCCTTTCTCTTTGGAGTGTTACAAGCTCTTGGTGCATAAAGAAGATCTGTAAAGTTGCAAAGACTAAAGTCTCAAATCCAAAGAGATATTCTTTATAAAAGTTCAGAGTCAGCCACACCTACCTAAAACGGCTCGTTCTAACACGCCCCCACATGTCTACGTCACTATGTGGGAAGATTTGCATAACGCCGCCCAAATGTTCATGCAAAGAAAGAAGGCGCAACTTTTATTCTCGCTGTAGTATTGTTGTTGCCGCCGCCGCCATGTCGTGAAGACGCTGTGTGCTTCGTTGTGAAAGCGAAACTACTTTGTTTGGTCTTCCAAAAGAGGACGATATCTGCTTCGTCATGCCTGGAGCTGATCCGTGCTGGTCGCTGAGGAAATACAACAACTTTGCGCTGTGGATCGCCGGATCGGCTTTCACCGTGGACGAAGCGGAGTCCAGCCCGGGGTCGTCACATGTGGTTGCCGCAAGCCCTCCGGACGCTCCTTCGTTGAATCTGCTGCCTCTGCTCACTCGAGCCCGCCGTGTGTTTCGTTGTGAAAGCGAAACTACTTTGTTTGGTCTTCCAAAAGAGGACAACCGCATAAACATTTAATTACACCAAATACACAAAATAATGTTCTTTTTAGTAGCATCATATGACCCCTTTAAAGTTTTAAAAACTCTAGTTTTGTGTTACACAGGAGAAAGATCTATATATAATGTTCTCTATTATTAGATCAGTGGTTCTAAGGTGATTACGACCGAATTTTCATTTGAGGAAGAAAATACCTTTTTAAATTAAAATCCCTCTGAGGTGAAAGACGTCATGACATTAAAATATCACACTTTATTATCGTCCTTGGTGTGAACGGCTTAGAGTGTTTTTCTCATCATCATTTTTTTGTGTTTTTTTAAGAACATTAGACCGTTTGCGATTATTAAGATGAGTAAATGGCAGAATTCTCATTTTGGTAAGAACCATTCCTTCGAATGAAAGTCCCTGATGACGCCGTGGCTTATTAAAATATGAACAATAGCGCCTGCGTGTGCGTTTTTATCGATTCCTCCATAGAAACATGATCTTACGTGTCCTCATTCCGAGTCTCAAACATCTGCTCTTCATTGGATCCCTCCATTCACTCGCTAAGAATAGTCTGAATCGCTTTATTGTTGCTTCGCCGTAGTTATAAGAATAATAAAAGGCTTCATCTGAATGTAACGCAGCTCCGCGGGATGACTGACAGGAGTAGGCGTGGTCAAGGGGGCGGGGCTTCCTGACAGAGCGAACACGCGGTTCCGTGATCGGTGCGCTTTTCCCCCTCGATCCGTGCAGACGCCCACACCTTGTGATTCGCGATTCGTGATTCACGAATCGCAGCGCTTTTAACGCGAAGCGGACCGACGGAACCCGTCACACATCGGCGCCAGCGCTCCCGGAATACGTTCAGCCGCATCTCATACGGGTCATGACGCTGGAGGCGATCCGGTACCGGCCCGGTTCTCTGCAGATCCTCAACCAGCTGCTGCTGCCGCACGAGACCGTGTACGACGAGATCCGCTCGGTGCGGGACGGATATGAGGCCACCAAGAGCATGAAGGTAGGCTACTGCAGGCCCGGTCGACGGATCCTCTTCCCGGTTTCGCTCGCGCACCTCCGGACATCTCAAAGCCGGTAGAGCTCCTTTGTGTCGGATCGGAGCACGGGCTTGCCCTTTTTCTTTGTGCACGCGTGTGCATGTGTGATCTGCATAACCTGCGCTTGACATAACGTCCCTGCGCTGCTTTATTTGTTGTTTTTTTAAATAATGCACGCTTGCGTCTTAACCCATTTAATCCGACATTTTTCTCAGGCATGAAAGTATCAAAATGATGTGTCATTAGTAACCCCTTGAAATAATCACAAATTATTTGGGGGGCGTTTTATGGTTGGTCAATATTGTGCAGTCATCAAAATTCTTATATATCTCAGCCCAGCTATTAACCCGTTTTAAACTGTTTCATTACTGTGGTTAGTATTATACATTAAAACCCCTTATACAACACTGAATAGGTATACTAAGATAAAAAAAACAAAAAAAAATGTGACCCTGGACCACAAAACCAGTCATAAGGG